CAGCAGCATCACCAGACACACGCCCACCCGCAGCATTCCGACGAGTACCAGCCTCCCGGGCATATATGCATCCATCCCGGCACCATGGCCGAAGCCGCGGAACCGACCATGGACTGCAATCTGCCGGAGCTCCTGGCCCAGGACCTCGAGTTCTCTAGTCTGATCTTTACCTCCAAGAACATGACCGCCGGCGCCCCCTCGCCCGCTCTTGCATCCGACGAAGACGAATGGCCCTCCGCCGAGCCCCCGACCGTTCTCGGCGCCCCGTGCCACCCCAACGGCGTGCCGCAATTCCAGCCCCTCGGTGCCATCGACGAGAAGAGCAGCGGCGCCAGCGAAAACGACTCTGACGCCGCCAGCTCGAGTGGCGCGTCATTCAGCGAGGCCGAAGACGGCGACGACGAGGCCGCCGCGTCGCCCCAGATCCGCCAGCAATCCGTCCTCACGACAGACACCACCATCTCCGCCTCCAGTCAACCACCAGCACCAGCACCAGCAACGGCACCCTCCAAACGACTCGTCTCCTTCTGCGACGGGTCAGAAGAAGAAGAAGAGGGCATGCCGGTGAGCTGGATGGATCTAGAGCCGGAAGGGCCCGGCGACCACCCTGAGCTGGGCAAGAGTCTAGACCAATCACCAGTCACGACGCCCATCAAGCCGGTAGTGCGGCCGCTATCCCGGCTGGGGGATAAGTCCATCAACGAGTCCCAGTCGCCGCCGCGGATCAAGAGCGCCAACGCCGCGACTACCACCCGCCGGCTGTCCAACCCGTTTGAAGGGTACACGCGGCCCACAAGCCGGGCGCGGAGCCTGCACGTCAACCCGACGCCTGCGCCGATGCCGACCACGCCAACCCCAAATGCCGGCAAGGAGAGGAAGAAGCTGAAGGAGAAGGAGACGGAGCAGAACCGCCTGTCGGTCCACTCGCTGCACTCCATCGAGATCGCCGTGCCCACGCGCAGCTCGTCTTTGAAGCACCGCGTCTCTTTCACGGATGACGCCCGCAAGACCATTGCATCACGGTCGCGCGCTCGCTCGCACGCCTCGTCCACCCGCACCGGCTCCGACCACGTCACCGCGCCGGGAACGAACAGGAGCTCCATCATCGCCGATCTCAAGGAGGAGCTTGAGCCGTGGTTCCGCTACCTCGACGAGCAAGAAGAAGGCCTTGCGCCCCCTCCCCTCGTCACTCCCCGTCCCAAGTCACGCTCAGCAGAAACCTCACGATCTGTGGTCACACCACGGCCCAGATCCCAGGCCCAAACCAGATCCCGCCCGACATCCTCAGTGAGTGCCACGTACACATGGCTCGACGACCCTATCGACATCCCCTCCCTCTCTTCCGAGGAAGCGCGCCGGATCCCCCTCCCGCCCAACGTCGTCGAGTCCCTCCGCATCTCCGTGACCTGCTTCCCCGAGACCATGCTCCTCTGCTCCAGCCTATCCATCGAGACCATTCGCAGCTACTCCCGCAAAGTGCGTCTCCCCGTCCACGAACCAATCCGCCCAGACACGCCGCCCGCCTCCCCCAAGCAACGCTGGCGATGGCTCGCGCCGCGCCGCAACAACAACGCAAGCTCCTCCGTCCGCCGCTGCTCCTCCCGCGGCGCCGCTTCCTCCTCCAACCTGGACCTCTCCTCCCTCGCCCCCTCAACCGCAACCCTCACCGCGCCCCAGTGGTCCCGCATCCGCAACCTCTTCCCCACGGGCTCCGACTACCTCTGCGACGCCCTCTACGCCCACATCGTCGCCTACAACTACCTCGCCCCCATGGTCCAGCACGCCGCCCGCCCGCCCACGCCGGGCACTCCCGAGACCACCGGCACCACAGACGAGTCCATCCCCAAGAAGGCCGCCACCCTGCTCGGCCTCCAGGGCATGCAAGAAACCACGCCCCCGCCGCCGCGGCCCCTCCGCAAGCGCTCGAGCATGTTCCTCGGTCTGCGCGCCTGCTCGTCGCGCCAGTCCTCTGCGCCGCCGGTGCCGGTTACCCCCGTCCCGACGGCGGATGTCACGCTGCGCGACCTGCAGATCGGCATCCGGCGGTGCATCGCGCGGCTCGTGGCGACGCTGCGCGCCGAGGGTGCGGATGGGCCGTTGGCGGGCGAGTCGGTCAACGAGATCGACCCGCTCATCATGCGGTCGCTGTGCGAGATTGTCAAGTGCTGCGAGGAGTCGTCGACCAATGACCGAACTCTATAAAAACCAAGCATCTTTCACATTTTGCTTTGTCGGAAAAGTTTTCTATCATCTCTCTTCTAAAGCGTTCAATTTCCACACACACATCCATGTAGACATCATCATCTCCCGTGAGATGGCGGGGAAAAAGACAGGTTTCATGTTTAAGGGGGGAAGCATTGTTTTTTTGTTTGGTATATATACCCTCTTTGATTTTGGTAGGGAGTTTTCTTTTCCCTCGTTTTTCGTTTTTGGTTTCGAGCGTAGGAGTACAGTAGACAAAGGGAGGGAGTCAGTCAGGCAGGGAAACACAAAACATGGTGATGGTTGGGAAACGGGGGATGGGTGGGCGGTGTTGGGTTGTTTAACTGACTTAATGTCTATGAAAAGACAGAAAAACAAACAATCAGAAAATGGCAGTGTGGCCATATCCATCTTCAACCCCCCAACGCCCCCCCTCGTGCCATGCTTCCTACCTGATATCATGATGCTATTCACTCTTCCTCAGATGTACTCTACACTTCCCTCGAAAGGATACGGATCCCGCACCACAGTCCCGACCTGACTCTGCTGACTCCCCCATTCCACCGCATCCTCCGTCTCCCTCCGCGGCGGCCTCTGCCCCTGCACGAACGCGTCAAAATCCCGCCTCCTCCCCGGCAGCGCCGTCCCTCCCCCACTTCCCACCGTCGCAGTCCTCGGACCTTCATCACCACCATCGCCGTTCCACACGCGCGCAACGCGCCCCTTGCCCTTGACCCCCTTCATGAACCCGTTGCTCAGCCCCAGCAGCCCCGCGCTGCCGAGCAGCAGCACGAGCAGCGCCATGTTGCCCGCCTGCGAGACGTTGCCGCTGAAGACGGCGACGAGGTAGATGGTCAGCTTGGCGGTGGCCTCGAGGTAGCCCTGCGCGGCCGTCTTGGCGAGGAGGTAGGTTTCGGTGGTGAGGGCGGCGAGGTCGGCGGCGCGGCCGCGCATGCGTACGGAGAGCGTGGGCGACAGCGGGATGAGGTACTCTGTGAGCTTGGAGGAGGACGGGGAGGAGGGGGCGGAGGGGGAGGGCGGTGTGCGCTGTTTGATGATGTAGATGTTGAGGAGGCGGGAGGTTATGAGGGCTATGATGGCGGCGAGACCCCACCCTGCGAGAGAATGTAAGTAGATGTCTATCAACTGTTTGTGAAGGACGTGAGGTTGACGATGTCAAACGAAGGGGGACTCACAATCTCCCAGAAGCACCATCACCGTCACCGCCCCGACCGTAAGCAACGGGCTCGCGAGGTAAAGCAAATGACTCCCCTTCTCAAACTCCCACTCCCCATCACGCTCCTCAAACGCCCTCCCCTTCCTCCTCCTCCTACCCGTCCCCATTGTGCCGATATCGACCACAATAACCTTATCCTCCTTCCCCGCCCCGGCCCCAAAAGCCTCCACCCCTCCGCCGCCCGCCGCCTTCCTCCGCATCCTCAACTCCTTCTCCCGCGCCCGTTGGTCCTGCACACCCAGCCTTGACAGGAACAGCAACATCCCGGGGTTCGTCACCCGCACATTCTTGAACCCGCCGCCGGGGAGCGCCTCCGTCCCGAACACGCCCTTGCCCCCGCCGCCGCTGTTGGCGTTCCCGCCGTCGAACGCGCGCGAGGTTTCGGCGCTGATGCCGCTGGCGTCGGACCCCGCGACGCCGTCCGCGGCTTGTTGGTAATGCAGCCCCGGCGCGAGGACGAGGGAGTCCCACCAGGAGGAGGTACCGGTCAGCGCGGTGCGGTGGGCGATGGTTTGGAGGTCTGCGAGGGCGACGAGACCGGCGGCGGAGAGGGAAAGGGAGGGGAGGGGGGTTTGGGGGAGGATGGGGAAGACCATGACGGCGGCTGTCGCATGGAGAAAGGGATCTCGCCTCAGCTTCGAGGTTGACGAGAGCGTGGGAGCTTTGGAGCTTACAGGGAGGCGGTTGGGACAAGCTCATCTATAAAGCGGTCAACTAGCCTCATCCTCCTCCTACACCCACCACTTTTAAAGCTGGGTGGTGGAAGACGAACGCTGGCGCCAGACGGACCTCGCCCTCCTGATGACGTGTTCTAGATTTCCGCCCTCGATTTCTAAGACCTACCGTCACGAGATGTGCCAAATTGTATGAGGGTAAGAAACGAAGGAAGAAACAAGAGGAAAAACATAAGTCCCCGAAATCTAGATCAGCTAGAACATGGCCGCCCCCGTGTCTCGCATCTTTTCTTTGACAGGTGCGGTCCGGATGACCTATCGACAGGGGTGTATGCCGCTGGCAAGCTGACCCCAATCTTGCCCACCCGCAGAAGCCGTTCTGCCCACGCGATTACGTGCATGTGGAAGTCGCAACCAAGGTTGGCCTGGTTTGGAGAAATGGAGGGAGGGGGGCGCCAACGGCGTCCCGTCGCAATGTTCCGATGCTACCCCCCACACACAGATTGAGGTTGGCGCATTTCGCGCTAAAGAGCGTTGGAGAAACGCCAACCACCAAAATTCGTCGTTGGAGAAGTTCCCGATGGAGGTTTGTGTTAGTGGCGGCTGGCGCCGGGTGTGTGATTGGATTGGTGAGACATCGTGTTCCGAGAGTCAACTTGTCGGGTTGAAGAAGCACAGCCCGACATGTAAATGATATTGACGGCCTGGTTGCACAAGTGGCACATGGTAAATGGTGATATCTTTCAAATGACGAATCAAACCACTGTTGAATTGCAGAGGCATCTAGTCAGAACAATTGAAATATTCTTTACTGACGCTCTCTACTATGATTTGAAACCCCTCCAACATGAATTAGGAATACTTGAACGTCATATTCGGCTTTGCAGCTACTCCTTCTCTTCCTCTGGCTTCCTTCCATAGATGGCGTACCTGTGTGATCACGTCAGTAGTTCCTCATGATGCCGCTGGAAACATCGTTCTCCAATCGAAGAGCGCGACTTACCAGGAGCAGTAAGCGTGAATGCTACGATCATTGAACTCTTTCCGAACATCAATCAGCAAGATCTGGACCTCTTCTTTCTTCCAGCCGAGGGCTCTCGTGAATGGGGCCATGGTCCACGCCTCAATGCCCGTTAAGTAATTGACGTTTGCCCACTCCCCAATCTCCTTATAGTGGCTATCCCTTGGCCAGGTGTTCGTCGGCCATTTGAATTTCTTGACGTACAGGTCGACAAACCCGACTGCTTTCATCATGTCGACCATAGCGGGCACATCCTGGAATGCGCATCCGAAAATTCTGAGGGCCTCTCCAAGAAGGGTGTACGTCTTAACCAGGGCGGAGTCCGGTTGAAGTGTACTATCATCAGATTCAGGCATCAGTTCGACCTCTTTCAACTCGAGATAACCGCCGGGCGTGAGGTGGCTGTTCATCGAGTTTAGAAAACAGAATCCAAGTGAAAACGGTACCACCCAGTACTTACTCATAGCAATTTTGGATAAACTGCTTCCAGTCTCTAATACTAGAATTCATCACTCGGGAGTGGATGTAGTCAAATGGTCTGCTGTAGAGCCAGGGCTCTTCAATGTCGTCCACTTCAAAAGTAACGTTGGGAGGGACCCTAACAACTGTCAGGCTTTGATTGAGTAACGATCTCTGAAAAAAGGCCATACTCTGCCAAAGGGGGCGACAGGTCTACTCCAAGGACCTAAGACGCAGGTTAGCATGTTCACTGGCGTTTACCAGCTGATTTCTTGACAAACCTCAGACTCAGGATGAGCTTCTCCAAACTCAATAGCCCACAACCCGGTTCCGGTGCCGACGTCTAGGACACGACGAACACCAGAGCCTTCGTCGTTGGGTGGTGCAACACCGAGCTTGCCGTCAAGACAGAGATCGAACATGTGATGCTGCAGGTCTGTGATGATACCAAAGCAACGCCCAGTCAGAATGATGCACGGACAAACCCAATGCGCAATGCGCTCATTAGGATTTCTTACCCAGTCTCTCAAGTTCTCTTTCGTCATTGGGGAATTGGTATTCTGTCGCTATCAGCTGGGCGAAGATGATGGCGACACAGAGACATTGAAGAAATCTTACTGCCTTCCTTGTATCGGTGATAGGTGCGTCCATTCTCGAGTCGGTAGTGGTAAATTGACTCGGACAGACTCGTACTTGAGGAAGCAATGCTCTACAAATGATCAGTTGAGAAATCATTGTGCTAAGCATACGCTAGGCTGTAACTCACACCCCCAAGCTCGGTTGCTGAGTCGTCAACCTATGGAAAGTCAGGCACTGCTGATTTCCCAATTTCATACATCGTCTGCGAACCTCTGCATCGGCTACGACTTGCTCTTCCTCCGTGGTGGTTGCATTGTTGGTTGTACACATTTCGGTTCGCTTGTGGCTATGCAAGCCAGAAATCCGGATTGCACGCGGTATGCAATGCTAAATTATGATGTGAAAAAAAAGTAAGGAGAACCTCGCGAGAGCATGCTTTTGTATCTGGTCACCGACATGCCTGTTTACCCCTCTCCTTGGCTGGAGACAACCATGCACGTTGGTGGTAAAGATGCATGTTGTTTGTTGGATCCGTCGTCCAGAAGTTTTATTGGCTCCACTTTCCCGCGTCGCGTTTTCAGTTCCCTCTCACCTTCTTCAACAGATAAGGCAGCATGGGTGATAATGCGTAGTAACGGTTTAGGTAAACGCCTCGTGCATAGGCGAGCCGGGAATGAGGTCCATTGATAGGACTGAGACAAGGAAAACCGTCCTCCTTGACAACAACTGTTCCACTTCCCCAAAGCGTTAGGCGAGCCACTGGACATCAAGACAGGTGGCAGCAGTAGTGATTTCGGTGTAGCCCGCGTCACTAAATGAAGTTTGAACGACTGTTTTTGAAGCAATCCTCGAGATAGATGCTTGGTTATTTCTCTGGATCTGTCATCCCAAGGACGTCCTCAGACATTTTCTTGTACATAACGTTACTGATCTGGACCTCTCAGTAGCAAGTAGTGTTTCATTTCCATACGCCATAAGTGCAATCCTCATTCTCGGCGACACCATCATTATTTCTTGGTCAAGAGTGCTACTTTCGCACCACAAAATACTCTTAAATACCTTTGTTATAAGACTCTTCAATAAACATCAGTTCGATGAAGCTACGTGAGTATCAATGGAAGCACCAACAATTACGCAAGAAGCTACGTGTACTTGGAAAAGACGAGACATGGCAATAAAACTTTCGAAGAGACATGGCATAGAAAGTTTTGAACTGGGAGAACTCCGTCGACGGTTTCCTCAGGAAATAAGTTTACCCCTACTTCCGGCTCTTCGGCTGGCCCTCACGACTCTTGTCCATCAACCTCGGGTTTCTTCCCATACAGCGCATACCTAGTATTATTTCGTTGTGTTAGCTTTGAGACGGAGTTTGCGGGGAGATCGCCGCCTCTCAAAAGCGGCAAACGTGCAAACTTACGCCGGCCAATAGGCATGGATACTGCGATCCCTGAGTTCCTTGCGGATTTCAATCAAGAAAACCTGAACTTCCTCCTTCTTCCACCCAAGCGCTCGGGTCAAAGGAGCCATGATCCAACCTTCGATACCAGATATGCAGTTCTCGTGTGCCCACTCGCCGAGAAGCTTGTATCGAGGGTCTGCCGGCCATGTATTCGTGGGCCACTTTATCTTTTTGATATAGATATCGATGAATCCGACACTCCTCATGACGTTTACGAGATCCGGAATATCCTGGAAAGACCGGTTAAGCAAGGTAGCAGCTTGTCCGAGTAGCACGCTGCTCCGGACAATAGCAGCATCCGAACCCAAGGTGCCATCGTCTGACTGAGGCAGAAGGTCTATCTCCTGGAGCTCAAGGTATCCTCCTGGCGTAAGATTGCTGTTTCACCTGATTAGAATTTTGTTTCGTGTAATCTTGAGAGGTAGTAGCAAAATAAATACTTACTCATAAGCTCTTTGAACAAATTGTTTCCAGTTCGAAATGCTGGATGTCATCATTCGGCTGTGAATGTAGTCGAATGGCCGAGAGAACAACCAAGGCTCCTCGATATCATCGACCTCAAATCGAACGTTAGGGGGCACCCTGTGAAGAATTAGAGACGCATATGGTGATTTCCTTGGCACAATCATACTCTGCCTGCGGAGGAGATAGATCCACTCCAATAATCTGTATGAGATCTTGAGTTTAGTATACGAACGAAGAAATGTGATCAGGTTCTCATGACAGACCTCTGCTTCCGGGTGAATGTCGCCAAACTCGATGGCCCAGATCCCGGTTCCGGTGCCCACATCAAGGACGCGTTTGACCTTGTAATCCTCTTCATTTGGAGGCGAGAGACCGAGCTTGCCTTCCAAAGAAAGAAGAAACAGGTGATGCTGCAGATCTGGGAGAGGGTCAACAACATGCAGCAGAAAAGAAAGGGTAGCTCGTTCTCCTCAACCGCGCACCTAATCTGTCGCTTTCTTTTTCGTCGTTCGGGTAGAAGTATTCTGCATAGATTAGCATAACCAGGTCAGGGAAGTGGCTAGAAAAGCATTCTGTCAGGTCGGAGGGGGTCGGGGGTGTTTACTTCCGTCTTTGTACCTATGGTAGGTGCGGCCGTTCTCGACGCGAAAGTTGTAAATCGATTCTGCCAGGCTGGTCTTCGAAGAGGCAACGCTCTGCCGAAAATTAGTGAATTGGCTGTCCAACATAAACTATAAAGAGGACATTCAAGCACTCACGCTGCCAATGTCTGACGCCGCGTCGTCAACATCCTGGGCCTAAGGCAATGGTTTAGATCACGCCGGAGGGTCCGAGAGACGGGCGCGCAAGATACCTGGGGATCGATGGCGATTTGCGGCTCATCGGCAACTTGGATGTCTCCACTCCCAGGTTGGGAAACAGGCGTAGCAATGGGAGCTGCAGCTGGCGCTGATGAGGTTGCGTCGTTTGGTGCCGACATTTCGATTGTCGATATGTGCAGGGAGCTACCACCTGTTCAACCTTTCCCACGTTTCTTCGAAGAAGATGGAGAAAAGAGTCCAACAGCGAGCCTTTTATCTACTCAACAAACCTGGTTTTTACCCCTCTCCTTGGCTGGAGACAATTATGCAGGCTGGTGGCAGAGATGCATGCCCATGCAGATTGTGTTGGAGCGAATGTCCAGAAGTAGACACTGGACCGCGTTTGGCCCATTTCCCCCACCACCCCTGATATTAACGGTGTCTCGACCGTTCCAGAGGCCATGCTTTCTTCTGCATAAAGAGTCGAACCTGGGGGTTTGTGGAAGAAGTGGGGTTTTCGCCTCGACGTTTCCAGAGCCTGAGGGTTTTCTCTTATCAAGGATCGACATGAACTTCGTAGCGGAAATCAAGCCACCAACATCAAAAGAACAACGTACACAGCTTCTGAAACAATATAGCATTAGTATGACAAACCGGAAGGTACATAATCCTGTCTCTTTTCGAAATTCTGAAATATAATGTCTATATCATAGTTCAACTTTTGAAATGCAAGTTACGTGCGTGGATCTCAAATGGAAACTGTAATGCAGACTGCAAGATGGACGCCTTTTATCTCATGCGAACAAGATCTCAGCCATCAAAGCCAATAAACCTCGAACGTACTTCGCAGTGACTCTAGTGCTATGCGTTTGAAAGAGACTCGCTTGGAACTTCACACAGCTTGTACCTGTCGATGGAGTCAAGCCCACGGTGCGGACGGCTGCGACTCGTAGGCAGTGAAGGGTCTCGACAAAATAGAATGCTATTTCCAAAGAAGAGGAATTTCCTTAGGGTTCCAACTTCCTTCCTTCCACGCTCATTACAAAAAGTTTCAGCACCCAAAAAAGAAAAGAAGGAAAAAAATAACAGAGGGAGGAAACATACACAACCTCCAAAGAAGCTTCCATTCACTCCTCCTTTCACCGTCACTCGAGCCCTTGCAAACTTAATTTCCTAACCATTTCTCCTCCCACACAAGCCGGGCCGGCATCTCGGACTTTTCGAAATTCGCCATGGCTACTACTGGCACGAGCTCGATTTCGGAGCTCTACAGATCCTACAAGAAGTTGACGAATGGCTTTTTGACCTGGCTCTGGTGCCAGCATCGCCTCAAAGCACCCACCGAAACCGACCTGAAGTTCAAGTCAACAGCCGATATTCTGAAGACGGCTAAGCTGCTGCAAGAGTCCAAAGCGAAGGTCCCGGTCTCCGTGATTGGGTCTCTCCGACAGGCGATAAAAACGCGGAAGCTCGTCGCCGACATCTACCAGCAGTTCGGCGCCGGTCATCACGGGCACGACGCATTTATTGACAGGTTTGAGCTTTTCAGAGCTGAATACAGCGTTCAATATTGACAGACAACAGACTCGAGGAAGTTCTTTCCACACTGGCTCCTTTGGTGAAGGGTGACCGAGCTCCTTCGGTGGACGAATCCAACACAGAAGATGAGCCCTCATCCAATCGCTTTTACCATCTCCCGACGGTTGAGTCTGAGCTCGATGGAGAGGAAGCCCCCATCCAAACCGGCCACAAGCATAGTGGCTCGCCCTTATCTTCTTCCTATACCGCAGATCCCCCGAGCGAGTCCGGCACACCGTCCGACTTTTTCTTGGAAGATGATTACATCCGCGAGGTGTTCGAGGCTGCGTATTTCATAATGGTAAGTGCCATTCCTACCTCACTGAACTTGAAATCTTCAGCTGACTTGAGGTCAGGAGCTGGACAGTGTCCACACATTGCTCAAGAAGTGCTGGATAGATGCGTCTCGCGGCACCTTGCCGTTGCCCTTGGCGGCTTGGATGACCAACTTCGCCATGTACACAATCGCCAGAAGAACCCCGCCGAAATTCGTTCAGGTTTGCGTCGCCATGTCCGTCTCCCTCGAGTGTACCAGCCAATTCTTTTCACAACTCTCCGACAAGGTCGATCCGAGATCTTTCGTCTCAGACGCACGCCGCTTTTTCATGCTCGCTCAGACCGTTAACGAATACGGTCAAACGCTCTCAGGCGCACCGAGACCGATGATCCAAGGAAAGAACATGATTTGCCACAACCCTGGGTGTGTATGCAAGTTCAATGCCTCATACGAAGCTGCTTTCGGTGGTGGCCCTACTGCAGACGTTGGAGAGGAGCTTTCCGCGTCTGACAAGGCGATGGTGTGCTCCATTTTCGACATCGTTCGTGCCGACCTTGACACAGAACGGGCAATCGGTATTCTGGAAGCCACGAAGCCCTTGTCATGTGGGTGTTTCACTCCGATCTGCGATTCGTTCTTCTTCACTGCCAGAGATTACCTCTCGCAAAGTGTGCTCCTGGCCTCGTCGAGAATAGTCGCGGCATTTAACTTGTACCTTCTCACGGACCAATCGATCACTACTTCGGAGGCTACAATCACTCGGCCTCATTACCGCTTCAAGTCGATCCGCCTGGCTATCGACATGCGAAAGAGCGTCTTGCCAGTTTTGGAGGCTGTCAATGAAATGATTCCAAACTGCGACAGAGCCAAATACTGGCAGGGCCAACTCCACGAATTTCTCAATGCTCTTACAGCCTACGTCTCCGAGAAGAATTTTGACACGTACCACACGTCGCCCTGGGTCGCAGGCAGCCACATGATGGAGTTGCTTAACGCGGCTTTTGGCTATGGCTTCCGCATAAATTCGGACTGGGCAGTCATCTCGGCTACTTTGCATCTATATAACGCCATGCGCCGCTGTGTTGCCGAGACGCCTAAAATACCAGTGTTCGAAGGACTTTCCCGAGTGCTCATTCAAAGCATCTTTGGAGGGAGCATGCCAGAGAGAAACTTCTGTTCCACATTCCGTCGCATTGTGTACAACAGCAAAGTCGAGAAGGGCGACGTTTCACGTGGCGATTCCAAAATGTTCCGCCTGGAAGCTGGATTCGTACAGCTCCCACAGCTCATGGAAATCAACTCCCATCTGCTAGACCAACACTTTTCCAATCACGACAACAGCGCGCTATTCCGCGGAGACGTCCTCGGCATCCCATACCAGCCAGCCTTAGGCCCCAAGTCGTACTACAAGATCAGCGAAGCCCAGGCCAAGCTGAAACTATCCGAGTACATGGAGAAGGCTAAGAACACGGTTCTTCTGGATATCGAGGGACCTCAGCCTATCGCTCGCATAAACCTCTTTGCCGTCTTCACTCTGTGCAGCAAATTTCTCAACAAGCTCGGTACCCTCGGCAAACCGCACATGCCGAAGGGCATTTGGTCATCATTTGTAAGTGATCAGCTCAAGAATGATCTTGTTGTTGGTCGTTGCGATGCAGAATTCTTGATGGAGTCCATCGACGATTTCTCGAGCAGTAAACAGGGCAGACGTTACTTACAGCGGACGGGCCCTATTCGTGACGCCATCAAGGCCTTCAAAGAGATCGACCCAGAGACGCCTTTGTCGCAATGCATGTGGGATCTCTGAAAAGGGGCCAGATTTTGGGGACGAGTTAGGGTTCTTATTGAAAACAAGATTACGGTTCTTGGGAACTTTCTTTGCGTTCTACAAAGTCAAATATTGAGTTCCTGGCAGCCCATCAAGCTGAATGGAGGGAGCAAAAGTCGAAGGATGTTTTTGGAGCACAGGATTGTATAAAGCAAATTGTACTGATCAGAGCATTCGCCCTGTCATCGGCTCATATGTCCATAGAAATATTTACGTGAAAATCCTCTCTAAATCCAATCACTTCTTGAGGACGCAGTTGTGAGGGTTGCCGGTGCCGTCAGGCTTAAGCTTGCCTCCAATACCGCAGAACTTGAGGTCCTTGGTGTAGTACACCCGCATGGGTCCAGGGCTGTTGCTGGTGCCCTTCTTCGACTTGTAGTCGTACGGCTTGCCGCTCTTGAGGACAGGCAGCTCCCAGACGTCGCTACCGCAGCCGCTGGCAAACTTCATCACGTTGCCCTGGTTGCCGAACGGCTTGGGGTATCCGCTGGCACCGGTGCTGGTCTTCGCATCGCGGAAGAAGCCGATGGCCTTGTCCTGGCTGATTTCGCCGTAGAGGACGCCGTCGTTGTTGGCGCCTGATTTGCAGATGTAAACCTGTTTAAGTCCGTGTTAGTGTACCGATGGTATCAGGTTGTGTGTGCCACAGAGGAGTTTGTTCATACCTGGCCGGCACGAGCTTCAAGGGAGAACTCTTCGTCCGGGTTGGGAACGGGGCTGGCAATGGCGACTGAGGCGGCAAGGAGGCCGAGGAAGTAGGTGTAGGCAACCATTTTGAGAGGAGGTTCGAAGACAAAGTGTTTCTTAAGTTGTGTGGTGTTTTGTTGGAGAGTGTGAGTTGTTGAGTTTGATGATTCGGAAACTCTTGTGGTGCTGAGGACTACGTTATATATCATTCCAGCCGCCATCAATTTCAAGACTTTACATGCACCATCCTTAGGCAACCCCGACGGCCATTGGAACACTAGGCAAAGTGCGAAGGGATTTCTGTTCCTAGACCCACGAGCAGCTACCGCCCAGAAACGGAGAAGACGAACTGAAGGATTGATCGGCTGTGGAGAGCTAGACTGCATGTCAGACGTTGTATGTAACCCAATTCATACATCAGGCTATGCCGTCGCCCGAGTGTGGCTTGCAATCGAGCGCATTCGGGATATTCTCTCAGGGGCAGGCATTAGACGCAAAAGTTTAAAGCGAATTGCTGGGGTTGTTGCCGGCATCGAATAGCCGTGGGAGTACGGCCTAGCCTCTCTTAGTCAAGTCCAATTGCGGATGGTAGCAAAGGAGTGATCGTCTGTGGGGGAGCTGGACCGCATGTCAGCTCCCATGACTAACCTAATCCGCAGGGAAGGCTATGCTGTAGCCTGATTCGTCGTGTTCTAGGTTGCTCCAAGACGTTATGATCACTTTATTCGGGATTTTCAGGCTTCCAAATGACACTCGTAGAGTTGAGCAAGGCTGACTTGAAAATGTACTGGCGAACAAAAAGACCATGCAGGTTGCACCGCTGAACATCGCCATTTCCAACTTGTGGGTAACAATTGCGGGTTACCGGGGTATGTCAGTCGAAACATCACCTTTGAGGGAATGATGCTCACAGGATGATGACAAGAGTCTCACGAAAGCCTTCCCATGACCGTTTTTGTCTGACCTTGAAAGGGAAGACAGGCAGAGCTGGGCAACGACGAGCTCCGCTTGGGGTCGGCAATGTCTCTACGTATCTCGGTTTCTAGACATAAGTCACAGGGTCTCGAATCCTTCCTTGATGGACGGAAGGAGAAAGTAGCTCAAAAGCGATGTTAATGGATACATGTCGGCTTGACAAATCTACTACTGTCAGATCCTACGGCTAAAAGATCCGTGGGAAGACGGGTCTCACCGGGGGCGCGGGGCGCAGAACGCGGGCCGGAATGAAGCTAGTCTATTTTTAGGCGGGGCAGTTGCACGGCGGGTCCCGCGCCCGCCGCCCCTCTAGGCAGCTGCTTCCCCAACTTACATCGCAACTTCGTCATACTCTAATCAAGCTACCTCTTACCCAAGCCGTTTATTCAGAAGTTCTATCACCTACCAACAACCTTGACTACTATCACTTCTTCACATCACATTTCTCTTACAACCTTGAACATCCAACAGTGCACCACCACGTACCTACCTCAGCCCAACATGTCTGGCGTCCAGTTACAGATCTCCGGTGACGCGCCGGCTTTTGCTGGTCAAGTCGTTGAAATACTCAACTCCGTTCTGGGATCCTCTTCACAAAAGCTGTCATCAGAGGATGCCGCCAGAGAAATCGACGAGTTGTTCAATCAACAGTACCCAAAAGACGGCACTGCGGGTTCATTCCTCTGGTGGTTTTGGGACCTGGTACACGACCTGGCGCTGCAGATTCCCCACAACAGCCAGGAGCAAGAACAACTCACAGCCGTCATCAAATCTCTGCATGACCTTCCACCAAAGACAGTAAGCTTGGGTCAGGAATGGGGCTCTGATGGCGCGGATTCTGTTCCTGTCTGGACGGGCTTGCCCATGTTTGGCAATACCTTCCGTGAAAAGATCGATACTGGTAAGTAATGTCAGCACGCATGTGGTAATGATGATGTCTGACATTCTTCAAACTTCAGTGAATTTGCAGACTTCCGCAGAACAGAATAAGCAAAAAGCCGTCAATCTCCAGGCCTATGCTGCAAGAGTAGCAGGACTCGGCCTTGTGCCGTTTGAGATGTACGCGATCTGGGCTTTCGTCGATGCCTTGGAGGGCACGATGAAGCCCATTCGAGGTGGCCCGGATGAGATCGACTCAGACCCTTCTGCCGTACCGGATATACCCTTCAAAGTCGCCATGGCTGCGAACTGGATGAAGTACGCTGGCCACCGCCTGTACGGGCGGGATGAAGAGGTGCATGGAGCTACGGCCGGCCCGCTTTGGAAACTGGACAAGAAAGAGGCGGTGAAACTGCGTCGCAAGCTTCGCGGGACTGACGGGATCTGCCCGGAAAGATGGACTCTTTGGAAGGAGAGGTTTGCGGCTATTCACGATGCGGCAGACGTTGATGATGCCGCCCGCGAAAATGCAAAGGCTGCGTTTGATGTGATGGAGCAGATTGAACAGGGTGGTAAGTGATAAATAGATAGTATTGGCATGATACTGGGTCTGTAAAAAAACCTCAAGAGACTCTGTATTTATACCACTACTGGAGATGAAATAAAGTCACTTGCTCTTCAAAGTGTTTCCATCTGGTGACTTACGGATTTCGAGGGCTTTAGGTCCGTTCACCCGGCGTATCGTAATTGAGTCCAAGCCTCACTATCGAGGAGCCTAACTGAGCTCATAAGAAATGAGAGCAGAAAATCATTAACGGCACAAAGACATCAAAAGGGTTCGGACAGGGTCTATCAAGTTTATGACATCGATGGCTTACACCGTGGACAGTTTGGACCCCTGGTGTCAAAAAGGCTTCTGCTGGCACCTGACACCTGGCACCAGATGAAAGACCGTACATGCACAGCTGGCCACTTTGAATTTCAGAGTGGGGTAATATCACCCTTGCGCCATCGCACGGCCTCGCTCACATTTCGAACTTCTTCAACGGTCACCTCACACTCACCTGCTGCACCAACTGTCATCGTTCGCACGTTCCAGGCGACCTGATAGACTCTCACGATGGAGACTTCAACATACATCTTTTTGGCAGTCGCCATATTCATCATCGGTCGCGTAAGTGACTCCCGCTAGGCCACCAGGCCGCCCGACCGTCCCTACCGCCTGTCGTAGGCCCCGGACAGCTCTCGCCATCAACCTCACCCGTATCCCTGCTAACATCCCATCAAGATGCTCTTCGCCGACCGCTCGCCCATCCCCGAGACATCCGGCAAGGTCTACAAGCTCACCAGCCAAGCCGAGCTGGACGCCCTGCTCTCCTCGACCAAGCACGTCATCGTCGACTTCTACGCCGACTGGTGCCCGCCCTGCCGCGCCATCGCGCCTGTCTTCTCCGAGTGGGCCGACAAGCACGCCGCCGAGGGTAGTCTGGCTTTCGCAAAGGTCAACGTCGACCACGTCAACGCCATCGCCAAGACGTACAACGTCACCGCTATGCCCACCTTCGTCTTCTTCCGCGACGGCAAGCCCCAGGGCGTCGAGGTCCCCAGCCTGAAGCCCCGGCAGTCTGTGAGCTTCACCAGCGAAGGCCTGGTGGACAGGGTGAGGGGTGCGGACCGTGCCGCGCTACAGGCTGTTGTCAACGCCTTGGCTGGTCCGCAGGAGGCTGCCAAGAAGGAGTGATGGGTGATAGACGTCTGAGAGGGTGCTGTGCTTCGCGCTTGTGGCTCGCTTTGATGTCGCGTATTAGCACCTGGAGGGTACTAGTGTTACGCAGCAAGGTGTGGGAATATGAGATAGGTTGAGACGCCCTTCTATGGGAGTGTTCTACGGCGGGGTTTCTGGAAATTCCCCTAGGGTGGCGTCTTCATTTATATCATATTCCCACCCTTACTGAGTGATAAATAGTACCAGTTCATCTCAGAAGCAACGGAAGGGAATATGGGTTGCATCGTATGTCGAGATGAGCTACGTACCGTTTGAGCTATCGCCGTGGATGGGTTGTCTCTTCTGTAAAGGAAACGCACGCCTCGTTCTCGAGTTGTAGTTTACACATCAACACTGAGGACGTCTGCTTTCTTGTTAAGTAGTCACGGTCATCCCACAGCAATTAATCACAAGGGTTGTGGCGTCCAAAATGCCTCCATCCAACAATATCCGACCCAGAGTCTCGCTTTCTTTGAAGTCGGCAATTCGGTATGCGACGTACGTTCATGACGCAGTACCATGGCGCCCAGAATGCACTGCTATAGAATACGCCAGAAGTTTGGCCGAATGCTTATTGATCGGGAAAGGGAGACTATTTATATCTGTTTCTATTGGAGCATCGCAACGTCTCAATCTTCTACAAGGGATATTGTACTGTCGCAAACATTAATGA